GACAGAAAGGGAGAGAGGGAGAGTGGAAGTGGAGAGGGAGAGAGAGGTAGGGAGGGAGGGAAAATGAGAGAGGTGGAGAAGGAGAGAGAGACACACAGAGGGAGAGAGAGAGAGAGAGAGATTCATTGTTTGATTGATGGAGCTGTGGCCTATCTAGGTGAACATCTGGTCCTCCAAATGAGAGAGAGAGAGAGAGGGAGAGAGGAAGTGGGGGAGGAGGAGAAGGAGAAGAGAAGGAGAGGGGGACAGAAAGAGAGGGAGAGGAAGAGAGAAAGGGAGGGAGGAAGTGGGGGCGTGGGAAAAGGAGACTGGGGGAGAGAGAGAGACAGGAAGACAGAAAGGGAGAGAGGGGGAGAGACAGAGGGGGAGGAGAGGGAAAGAGGGGGAGAGGGAGAAGGGAAGGAGGAAAAGGGGAGAGGAAGAGAGAGAGGGGAGAAAGAGAGGGAGAGGGAGGGAGAAAGAGAGAGGGGATGGGGAGGGAGGGAGAAAAAGAGAAAAGGGAAAGAGGGATGGAGGAGAGAGGAGGGAGAGGGGAAAGAGGAGGAAAAGGAGAAGGGCGAGGGGAGGGAGAGATGGGCAGAGGGAGAGGAGGAAAGGGGGGAGAGGGGGAGAGAAAGAGGGGAAAGAGAAAGAGAGAGGGGAGTGGGAGAAAGAGGGGAGAGGGAGAGAGAGGGGGGAAAGGGAGGGAGAAAAAGAGAGAGGGGAAGAGGGAGGGATGAAAGAGGAGGAAAAGGAGAGAGGGGGAGAAACAGAGAGGGGAGGGGACAAAGGGGTTGAAGGAGAGAGAGGGAGAGAGAACGGCACCGAATTTCCCAACAAATGTAGTTCACAGCTGCTTTTATACAAAGATGCCTGTCACAAGCCGGCTATTTTTACCAACTCCCTCATAAAAATTGCTAGGTACATTCCCCCCCCACCCCAGTCTTGCTGCCAATAGAGAAAAGAAAAAAAAAGGGAGGGGGGGAGAATCAAACTTTAAATATCTTCTCCCTCCCTTTTTCCCCTCCCTTCTTTCCTTCCTTTCTTCTCTCCCTCCCTTTTCCTCTTTCCCCTTCCTTCCTTTTCTTTCCTTCCATCCATCCTTCCCACCTTTTCCTTCTCCTCTTCCTTTTCTTTCCTTCCCTTTGCCTTTTCTTTCCCCCTCCTTCTTTCTTCCTTCCCTTCCCTTTCCCTTTTTTCTTTTCCCTTCCATTTTCCCTTCCTTCCTTCCCTCCCTTTTCCTTTTTCCACTTCCTTCCTTTTCCCCCTCCCTTCCGTCTCCCTTTCTCCTTCCCCTTCCTTCCTTTGTTCCTCACACCCTCTTTTCCTTCCTTCCTTTCCCTTTTCTCATTTCCCTTCCTTCTTTTTTTCCTTACTTCCCTTCCTTCTCCCGTTTTCCTTTCTCCTTCCTTTTCTTTCATTCCTTCCTTCCCTTTCCCCATCTTTCTTTCCTTCCTTCTCTTCCCTCCTTCCTTCCCTTTCCCCTTCCTTCCCTCTCTCCCTTCCTTTTCCTTTTCCTCTTTCCCCTTCCTTTTCTTTCCTTCCATCCTTCCCACCTTTTCCCTCTTTCCCTTTTCTTTCCCCTTCCTTTCCTTCCCTCTCTCTCTCCCTTTTTCTCTTCCCCCTTCCTTCCCTTTCTTTCCTTCCTTCCCACACCCTTTTCCTTCCTTCCTCCCTCCCTTCCCATCTCCCAGAATCTCCAACTGGCTGGGGCAACTGGGAAAACAGATGAATCCCGGACAGTGCCAAGTTGGGGAGTGCTGTCTCCTCCTGCCCTTTCATCAATCCATCTCCTCTTTTTCTGGAGCCAACTCTGAAGATGTGGGGTTGAGAAGAGGAAGGGAGAAGGCCTGCCTGTCTTCTGTCAAACCTCCGGACAAAAGCTACTGCGACTGAAGCCTCCTCGGGGGGGCTGGGGGCTTTCAAATAGAATGAGATTTTGTTCATCCTGGTTACAAGAAAGACTCGCTCCAACATCTCCCTGCACAAACAAGGGAAGTAAAATGTTCGGAGCTTTATTTACTTGCACAGACACACAAGGACGGTGCAGGAGAATTCTATTCATTCATGATTTCCCAATGAGTCATTTGCCTACAAAGGACTCTATTCAGCCTAACAGCTTTCTTCTTCTTCTTCTTCTTGTCTTTCTTTCCTTTTTTTTTTAAATTTTTTTAAGGTGGCTAATTATGTCTTTTCTCCTTTGTCCAAATCCAAGGCCGCAACTAATATGTATGGGCAGAGGATGCTGGCGGGGTTGTTCGGTCACAAGGACGGATCTGTTCTCAAGAAATGAACTCATCGCAGGTGGCCAAGTATGGAAAACAAACCAGCATTAGCTCTCCACTTGCAGGCCGAGGTTACGTAGCTGAAGCCTCTTCATTCAGAAAACCAAGGAACACCCCCCCCCCCCAAAAAAAAATAGGAGACTTCGGAAGACATAAGGCCTTGCCAACATACGCTGGAAGAAAGCTAGGGAGTTCCAGAAAAACACATGCTTCTCCTTCAGTGACTATGCTAAAGCCTTTGGTTGCGTGGATCACAACAGATTGTGGCAAGTTCTTAAAAGAGATGGGAATACCAGACCATCTTACTTGTCGCTTGAGAAACCTATATGTGGGTCAAGAAGCCACAGCGAGAACTGGACACGGAACCAATGTGCGGTTCAAAATGGGGAATGGAGTCCAGCAAGGCTGAATAATGTCGCCCTGCGCAAACACCCTCATACATTCATTCTAATCGGGGCTGGACCTCAACAGTGAGGTCAACAGCCCCAGGCCTGCCAGAACAGCCACGTTTTTACAGCTTTCCTGAAGGCCATGAGAGTGGGTATGGTGCGGATCTCTGGGGGTAGCTGGTTCTAGAGAGTCGGAGTAGCCACAGAGAAGGCTCTCCTCTGG